GGGCCGCTGAGGCCCCCGCCCCAAAGCCCCCGGCCGGCTCCCTGCCCGTCCGCGCCGGGGAATTCAGACCCAGCGCGGAAGGAACGTTGCGCCTTTGCCGCCAGCTGTTCCCAGCAGCGCATCCCCCCTCGCTCCTCCACGCCAGCCGCGAGCCCGCGTGTCCCCTCGCCATCCCTGCCTTCTCCCCGAGTCTCCCTGGAGGACAGGCAGCAGAGAGGCCTTCGTCCACCCACCCGCCGCAGCGGTGGGAGGTCTCCAGCGGGTCTCTCCAGGCAGTGTTTCAGGGACTGAGCATTTCGGCAATGCCGCAAGCGTTGCCTTGAGAGTCCCCTCAGCCATAGGAGCACGTGGCTGGGGCACAGGGTGAGGGTCTGGCTTGGGACCTCTCGCTGCATCACAACCTCTTGTGCTTGCTTCAGTGGATGATGACCGGGCAGCAGTCCCCAGGATAACTGTGGTTTCCGTCATCCATGCGGTGCCAGCCACGTGGACTCCGAGAACCTCTCAGAGACAATCATCCAGCTGTTTGGGCAGAAATGCTCTTGCCTGGCACATTCCAGCCCCACACGCTTGCCCCAGATGCCTTCAGCACCAGCCACCAGTTGCCAGCTCTGCCAGTGGGGCACTTTCCGCACCATAATCGTCACCCCCAGCCCAAAGCTTTGCTCACTGAGCGGCCCCTCTGGCTGGGGACCCACTCCTGGACCCGCCAGGAGCCAGCAGTGGGCACCTCATTCACATTTCAGAGTATGGATGTCAGAGAACATGCCGGAGAATCGATATGATATAAGGGACCATGGGCACACATGACAGGTGACAGGCACAGCATATTGAACTTGGGTGTCCTGGTGGATGACAGGTTAACCATGAGCCAGCAGTGTGCCCTGGTTGCCAAGAAGGCCAATGGTCTCCTGGGGTGCATTGAGGAGTGTGGCCAGCAGGTCGAGGGAGGTGTGTCCAGTTCTGGGCTCCCCAGTTCAAGAAAGATGAAGAGCTACTGGAGAGCGTCCAGCAGCGGGCTACGAGGATGGTGAGGGGACTGAA